AAAATTTTCTTTTAATAGGTCAATCTAAATTATGGTACTGCGATATGAGTCCCTTTCTCTCCCAAATCACTTCTTGGTTTTCTGTTAACAATCTATATTAAAAGCAATAATTGAATGAATGTACTATCTTATTTCTTTTGCACTCAAAATTTGATCTATCACAACGCAGAAGTCATGCAATATTCGCTCAGTCTTAAATGAATTCAAAATTTAAAAAATGTGAATACTGAAATTTAGAAATTATTGCAAGCATTAATCAAGAATGTGTCCATAGCACACAGATGCCCCACTCGCACTATCATTTTCTATTTTCAGTGAACCGTCAAATTGGGGTCAAAACTCTAATTTGGCATTAAAATTAGAAAGATCATATCATAGGGAACATGTGTACTAAGTTTCAAGTTGATGGGACTTCAACTTCATCAAAAATTACCTTGACCAAAAACTTTAACCTGAAGTGGGACAGACGGACGAACGGACGATCTGACGCACAGACCAGAAAACATAATGCCCCTACTACTATATAAGCCATTGTCAATTTGATAATCAATGGATCAAAAGCGAGAATAAGTAATGTGATATTAAATAATTAATTACACATAAAAGAAATGCTGTTAAAATTGAAAAATTAAGTTTAATTATTGTGAAATTCATTTCACTGCATTTATTGAAACTAAACTGAATTTACATTATTTGTGGCTAACTTGTAAATCACATCTATTGACTAAAATCCATTTTTACTTTAAAAATCACTTACAGAACGGACTATAAATATTTGAATTAAGTGAAAAATATAAAATCAACACTTCACTGTTATGTCAACAGGGTAAAATGTTCCTGTATAAACACCTAAATACACAAAATCTTAAGGTGTAAAAATATTGATATGCACTGGCTCTACTCATTTAAAAAAGGTCTATGAGAGTAGCCCAGGTCTAATTCACCTGCATGCTAGTTTACAATTTATGAAAATTAGATAGGATATAGAAAGAGCTTTAGAGGAAAACAGAGTAGCCCATCACTTTAACATATATATGTAAGAGCTGACTTTGATTTGATTGATTGATTTTTGGTGTTTTAACGCCACTTTTGGGCTATTTCGTGGCGGCCAGTTTTTATTGGTGGAGGAAGCCCGGACAAAACCACCGACCTTGGATAGGAAAACTGACAATCCTAGTCAATTAAGATTGGAGTCGAGTGCACCCGCACGAGCGGGGTTCGAACTCACAACCTCAGTGTTGACTGGCTAGTGATTACAGTAGTAACTACGTAGACCACTCGGCCACCGAGGCCCCTAGCTGACTTTGAAGAATGTATGCAACAATTAGGGAAAATGTGCACAACAATGGATCTAAAGGCAGAGCTCTAAGTAACAACATATTTTTAGAACACCAACTTGTTTTCTTCTTTGTATTTCATGTTTTTAATAAGTTTTATATCTACAGGCCTACCTAGTTACATCTACACTGTTATAGTGCATTATACATTTCAATGTGTTCGCTTTATACAGATCTTCGCAAAAGCTTTACAAGTGAATGTTCTAAATGGAATACTTCATTACTTCTGTGGAGATATTTATGAACCTTCAATTTTAAATAGATAATTCTACATGTTTAATTGTACATGTATGTATTTGACAATAAGTGCATGGTAGTTATAAACATTTGTAAAATATAGTAGGTATTTATTCTTTTGAGCCATTAACCTTATCCACTTACTGAGTTTGCAGCCTCAACTGGGTCCTTCCATGTGACTTTTTTACTTGACAGCGGGCTACGAGGACTAATTGGACTACGAGACAAGTATTCTCCTCGCCTCTCCATTTTTTGAAAGATCTAACTTCACACAAACTAACACACAATATTCCACGTCAAAACTTTTGCATATCAATCAAAATTATTAATCCAATATACTTCCAGTTTATTTTCATATTTCATTAAACTTCATTCATTTCCTATTCTCTGGTTCATTGGCTACCAAACTATTTACTAATTACAGGCAGTGTTTTAAAATATTTACACATATATCCCCCAGTCTACAATCTAATCCAATACATGAACCCCTCCGACTTCTTTCCGTAGATTTTTTTTACATCCTTTGTACAAATAACAATAGGCTAAGTACAGGCCATAGAAAGTTTGTTGATAAATATTAAGAAATTATCCACACATTTATCTATAGGCTGCCAAGCGAGGCGGGAAGTCTGAACGTGTAGTATATAACATGCTCTCACATGCTCTATGTACCATCAGACATATACCTGAGTTTTACCTGAGTGACTAAAATATTCAATCTCGTTAGGACTTTGCCTATTGTTTGCTAATAACTCTAATGTTTCTGTAAACTTATCATTTTCACATCTTTTTGTCTTTAAATAGATCAATATCTAAATTTTCAATGAAAGAAGGTTTAAAGTTGTAAAAGACGATTGCTTTAAATTTATCTAGAATATCAATGATCCATGTAAAGATATCATTATGTTCTTAAATTGATTGTATTATTATATATAAGAAAAGGAACCAGTAGGTTGGCTAAATTTTTATAAGTGGAATGTTTATTGCATTCTCAAAAAAATATATTTTAAAGAAATAAAGTGTTTATTTTTCACATTCTTGTCACATTTAGTAAGCTGTTTATCTATGTTATTCAATTCATTTCTTTAAAATAATTAAATAATTCATTATAAGATCTTAACCCAATTTCTTTCTGAATAATTCTCATTTTAAATAAGAAATAAATAATAAATAATTGAATACCAGCTATACATCTGCTTACATGTTACATAATATTATCATATTAGGGCCAAATTTTTCAAAGCATGAGAGATTATATAACATTTTTAATGTTTCAAACAAGGTTGCCAAATGATCTTACACCTTGAACAATTACATGCGTACATGTACTCTAGAAAATAAAAATAATAATAATGGTATGCTACCTGGCATACAAAGATATTTGGTTAAGGTGTTTTTAAAAGGCCTTACGTAGGAGTCTGACTTTTTTTACCATGCTTAGAGGAATCTGCTGAAAAAATTTATATGTACACGAGGAACAAGATTCAGTACATCAATCTTTCTTTGTTTGGAAAAAGTAAAATGGTAGTTGAAGTTTATCAGAAAACCACACTAGACAAATGAAAAATTATTTCCCTAATATCTGGTATTAACAATTTATAAATTTGTATATTGAGTGAAATTTGAGTCTTGAAATTTTTTGCCATACTGACTGACACTAGTTTGTGTATGGTTCTCTACATACATTTGTATTTGTTCCTTGGACATGTACAATATGTAAATATTTTAAATTTTAAAGTGCACAGATTTTAAACAAATTAAAATATAACAAGGAAACTATTCATGTATCAATTTCAATAACAGGGGTATATAATAATTTAACCTCAGGTTACCTGTCACAAAAACTATTAATGAGGAATCATACATGTAATTTACACCAACTACACTCCTGCTAGACTCCCATCAAACAATGGGATTCAATATCAACCAACAATACAGTTTTGTATAATCTTTATGAAAATTCAAATAAATATAATCTCAATATTTAATGTGTATTAATAAACAATTCTCATGTGGCTCAAACATTAAAGGGAAATAACCATAACCTCTTTAGACATACTGTTGAACTGATTTGCAAAAATGTTTACCTTTTCCCCAATTTTCCAAATATCTATGCAAATGATTTAATCACTGTTGTTTAATCAAATGGATAATTATATTAAATCAATGTTGCCATTTCAATTGATATTTTATAGTGTGTCTTTCTATGTTGTGATGTTACACTATTGTTTCAGATAAGGGTGAAGAATTGGTACCATTAGAACGTTTTAAACCGCTGCAATTGTTTGCACCTGTCCTAAGTCAGGAATCTGATGTTCAATAGTTGTCGTTTGTTGATGTGGTTCATAAGTGTTTCTCGTTTTTTAAATAGATAAGACCGTTGGTTTTCCCGTTCGAATGGTTTTACACTAGTAATTTTTGGGGCCCTTTATAGCTTGCTGTTCGGTGTGAGCCAAGGCTCCGTGTTGAAGACCGTACTTTGACCTATAATGGTTTACTTTTATAAATTTTGACTTGGATGGAGAGTTGTCTCATTGGCACTCATACCACATCTTCTTATATCTAATTAGTAGTGATCCTATATATCGAGAAGGTGGTGTCACTGTGGCTATATTGATTAATAGTAGGTACACTAGATGAATTTTGGTTTTTACCTAGGCAGTGGCATAGCCTTTCATATCCTGTGGATTTAGTATTACTTGTGGGATACCGATTTTCATGGATCTCATGGGTGAAGGAAAACCATGCATTTGAAGTATCAAGGAAGTACAAATTTTCTATAGGCTTGTATGCAGGGCTGCCAAGTCTCACGCAATTAGCCTGAGACTCACGCATTTTCATGCATATTTGGCGGCATTTTCCTTTGATCTATTGTTTTTTCTCTTTGATCTTTACAATTTTGGCCAAATCTCATGCATTTGCTTCATGAAAACTTGGCAGTACTGTTGTATGCAGACTTTGGAAAAACCATAAATTCAAATATCCACGAAAATCAATGAATCACAATTGTCAGTGAATTTAAAAAAACAATAGACAACTCTCATCTAACAGACAAGTATGACATGTTGATACAATGAATGCACCATTATCTACACACATGTATATGCACTGCTATACATGTTGTACATACAAAATGTACCTGTACATTTGTACATCTGCAATACCACAGATCATATTCTGAAGTATCACAAACTTGTTATTGCTTATTACAATATAATATCTGTAGATCCAACTGTGACAGAAATTATTGTCATGACTAAGAATAAGATGGCTAGAAGTGTTAGAGAAGTTAAGAAACTGAAAGATCTCATAAAATATCTTGTATTACTCTTGCCAAATTTACCAAATAATGGCAGTGAACTGCAAAAACATTTTTAGCATCTACATGTATCTAGAAGGACTTCTCTCACAAATCCAGTATATTACCTTTGTTGACCCAGAAACTTGTTTTAATTTAGACTCTAGGATGTTGACCCTTTCATTGGCTTCTCTCTCTAATTCCTCAACGGTCTGTACTAACACTTCATTCTGTTCTGTCAAATCATTAACGTAAGCTTGCATAATTCTCACTCTCGTCTGTAAAAAATGAATGGATGGATTAACATATACACTGGAATAACAAATAACAATGTAGTTAGCTTTAATTTAGAAATGAAGTTGCATCATTGGAAAGATTTTGTTCTGAATTTCTGATTGGACAAGGCCTTTCCCATGATGCAATATCAACAACAACAAGCTCGGTCTCAGCATCTTCACAGCAATGCATATACTTTGTCCAATTGGAAATTCAGAACAACGCCTATGCTGTGAAGATGCTGAGACTAAGCTTGTTGTTGTAAATGCATCATGGGAAAGACTGTGTTCTGAATGTCTGATCATCATAATTAACTTGGATTGATATAGAATGTCCACTTTGAAATGGTCTTTTAGTGATGTCCAGACAGAATAGTCCAAGATTGCTCTAAAGTCAGCTGACTGCCTTTTTTTATGACTTGTTGGGGTGGTCTGATGGCATAAAATCAAGAAAATGCTGTACAGGCAATCTTGAATAATGGCAGATATAGTTTTGCAGCATCAGTTAATTAGTTTTGAGTACATTTTGATAAATGTGGTGTCCCAGCGTACAATTTTATTTTAAACATAAACTGTACCCATCTCAAACCTGCCAATATTTCAAAATCTCCATGGGGGATTTTAAGCACAAGAGGACCTTATGCTCCTCAAATATTGTCATTAGCGTTCTTAATCTACTACATGTACTTTAATGTTTGAATGAGTATATATGTGCTTAAATACCCTTAAAACTCATTTGAACGCCTGTTTTGAGGTGTTCTGTTTGAATAATAAAGAATTTCAAAACTCAGGTCAACAACTCTCATGGGGGATATCCCTTTAAATCGGGATAGTTGGCAGGTCTGCCATCTACCTTCTTCTATGTCTGTGAGCAAGTAATAAATGTTCATTTTGTAGGATAATTTTCTCATTGCGTGAAAACTGTATAAACTGAATATTAAATTTCCCATGAACTGATTTTTTATTAAATCTATTTTAAATAATACAACTATCATTAATGCAAGCTGACTTCCCTTCACAATTTGTACTATTCTTTATTATTTGATTGTACCATTCAGGTTAAAAAATGCAATTAATTGTACATTTCTTTGAATACTTTTCCATCCATTTCAATACCCTTTATTTACAGCAAAACATCAATTACAAGGTTATTGTGGGAATTATAATATCCTTTATTGAAAATGTATTTACAAAAATGGATTAAAGATGTTTTTTTTTGATAAATCAATTTTTACTGTATGTAAGCTGGCATAACAAAGTAGGATTCAATTTGATACACAATACACATACTGTCCTATAATTGCACATATTCGCTGTAGCAATGGCATTGGTTTGAAAATATGTAGGACACAGCTACATGTACAAAATGTACATGCAGATACAAGGTTTTTAATGTTAAAACTTTCCTTATATTTCCTAATTAAATTTTTATGAATGACAGAGTGAGACCTTTCAAATAACCTAAACTCAATATGAATATACAAAACTGTGACAAATTGACTTGATCAATAGAGTTTAGACAAGAAAGCCTTTACTAAATAAAAAAGATTTGGAATGATCTCTTAATAAACAGAGAAATCTCTCTAGATTTAAACAAATGTAATAATGCTACATTCAGTTGCAGTTGTCATGGTTAACTGCAGATAATACAATTAGTCTTGTTAACATACCATTGGGCTTGTACTAAATTAAAATCATGATAATTAATCATTGCATAATTATTCAGACTGACAGACAAAAAAAGTATCATTGAATTTTAACAGTCTGTGCCAAAAACTTTTCTAGCTACATGCACTAGCTCAAACCAGATATTTCAACATTTTTCCTTCATAAGTCAACAAAATTTCACTTAATTTATACTGAATCAATTTTTACTAGACTTGGGCATAGGGAATAGTGACTAAAGGCATTGACTGTTCTAATGATTTCAAATTTGTCCTACGTATATATACATTGATTAATAATATTCAACCATATTTAATGATTCATTATCAAATCTTTTGGATAAAAACAATACAGCAGTTTGTAATCACTAACATGAACTGTGTACTTGATTGAGAACACAATTCTATGAAAATCCTAATATCTTAATTATAAAAAATAAAATACCAGAGTTCCGATGTTCCCTGTCACCATATTTTATCTCCCCAGGGCAATAACCAAAAAAATTCTTTAACAACTTTTTAATAAGTATATATTTTACAAGAAATGTTGGCATGAGATACATGTAGCAAACAATATTATTTTCCATATACATGTATATCTATTTCCAATTGTGCAGAAACTCATGTAAAAATAGTCTGTGGGCACTTTTCCAAGACCTTGCTGATATCAGCCTTTGATTTAAACTTTATATATAAATTCTAAAAGAAATATAGGTGTGAGGGTGCTTTATATTCAGTGTTTAATATCAATTACATTTCAAAGAGACATAACTCTTCTAAAATTGTACATCAGTGATGATTTTCATCTCACCCAAGACATTACTGATACCATCCTATAATATAAATTTCATAACAATCGGATTAAACCTACAAAAAATGTAGGTGTGAGAGTGCTTACAATGCAATTTTATATAATTAATTTTTCCATGGGGCATACATTTGTAACACTTTTTTTAAAAGTTGATCAACAGTGATTTAAACTTGTCCAAGACATTGCTTAGGCCACTCTTAAGAAATTGTTTGTTTGAAGTTGCCTACCCATGCTTTGTAGGGTTGGGTAGGTATGTAGGGATTTTATTTTTTGGGGCCAACAACATAAGTTACATGTTTTAGACAAGTTACATGTTTTTGACAAGAATACGATGTTACTTATAGCAGGAAAAATATCTTTTAAAAAAAAATTTGAAATGATTTGTGTCATAAAATTTTTGGGTTGGTTGCTTTTTAGGTAGGTAGGAAAAACGTGTCATATGACATTGTGACGTAAAGATATTTGCTCTGTGACATCGGATTTTCAGACAAAGTTCACTCATTGGAAGTAAAGGAGGATTTTCTGATTTTCATATATGTACAATGTATCGACATATTTACAATTGTAATTGTATACAAATTTGTCTGCCGTTACTTAAAAAAACACAAGTTCCCGCAAAATATTACATCACAATTATAAACGTTTGATGTCTTTATTAAAAAGCCATTGTTGCGCTACGTCAGAAGGTTATTCGGAAACAGATCTAGGGTCAATAAGAAACTATTCAGCTAAATACCCAGAAGGTAAAATTTTACGTTTGCATTGCTAATGACCTGGTCAGAATCAGACCCATGACAACTAAAATGTTATTCAAATTTGAGTTCAAGAGTCAGTGGCGGATCCAGAACTTTTCATAAGGGGGGGGGCCCGCTCGAGTCATGCTTCAGTGATTCCCTATATAATCAACCAAATTTTTCCCACGAAAGGGGGGGCCCGGGCCCCCCAGGATCCGCCTATGAGAGTATTCTTTACTAATCTGGACCATATCTGGTAGAACAGTAGTTAATATTGTGAAACTACATGGATGGTACGAGCAGTATTTGAACCCTCAATCTCGGGATCTAAAGGCAGCACTCAAACCGACTGAGCCAAAGAAGATCTTCCCTAACTTACAAATGTAACCATTTAAAATTAAGAGTTCCATTCATCTGTCATGTCTGTTCAATACTGCTTGTCTCTGGACAACCTCAGAGTCTTTCACAAGGAAACTCTCTGGCCAGTTCATTGCATGTCACCCAGACATGTCAAGGTCATCCCCATAAATGACATTAAATTACCTGCAAGGCACTGGTACTTATCAGAAGTAGTTGTGTGCTGTGCCAATATTGTGAAGCTACAATAATAGTTCCAGTGGGATTAAAATCCTCAATCTTGGGATCTTAAGGCAGCGTTCTAACTGACTGAGCCAAAGATGATCTTCCCTACCTCAACCAATTAAGACTACCTTCATATCTCAGTTGTACAACATTAGTATTATAGTAACTGTGTCAATAGACCACTTTCGAGTTTATCCTTCCCTGGAAAAAAATCGTCAATTATGCGCGCCTTTATGACGTCATTTACCAGATAGAGGGATCGCCTGTATCCCTGCACTATTAACGTTCATCAAGCGTCTTAGTGATCTTCATTGTGCAGGATAAACTAGAAAGAATGTTTGTTCGGTAGGTACATACTCACAATTCCCTAATGACAGTAGTGCTGATTGTCAATTATGAGAACTCAATTTGCCGAATAATTCGTGCAATATAGCATCATAGTTTTGCAACCAATTGCTCAACATGGGAACGGAAGTGGCGATGCCCCTAAACGCACGAATGATGTTCACTAAAACCAGAGTTTTTGACGGAAATGCATCGAACTCGAAAGTTGTCTATTGTGCGAGGGGTTGATGTCTTAAGTTGAACCCTCAAGTACCAAATTATTGGAACTCTTTTTTATTTGCAAATTCAATCTGATATACTATACCTTTGCTGTGTCTTCTCCTGAATGGTCAGCTTCATCTAGCCTGCGAAGTCTTGTTTCATAGAGCCCTTTGAATTCTCCAAGCAAGTTTTGCATGCCACCATTCCTCTTTTTGGAACTGAAAGATTCAGACATTGTAAGGCTTCCCTTGATTTAAACAGATGGAAATCGATACCTGCTACTAATTAAATGTCTCAATTCATTTGTCCTTTATCTTTTCCACCATCTAATAAAGAAACATTTAAATATTGTCGAACTGTTGCAGCGGAAGAAGTTCCCTGGTAATCCTGCTCTAGCTTGACCTGAAACATACAATTTCATTGGTTCCTAATGAAAACACTTTCTTATTCGGTCCAATCAAAAACGTCGTACTTTCACTGTTTATGTTTTTATCTAGCAGGCACATGTTTATCTGTCTAATATGTCAAACTGCACAAAATCTGAGTTTCTATACTTCTCTTACGAAATATACAGATAATTCGATCATTAAATTCAGTCAGTCTTTATATCTTATAAGTTGTTTATGGAAATTGTGTTAAAACTACAAGTGTTTATCCGACCGGGAAACAAGTTATAACTTGTGACATGTTTGTATACAAAGACGGTCGATAATTTGATGAGATCCTATTCACATTTTAACACTCTTTATAATAAGTCAACAAAGCAATACACATTTATTTAGATTCTACTATCTTCAATCTTTCGGTCTTGTACATCACACGTCATCGGGATATTTTTATAGGCCTATATTTATTTATTTATCATATGCGAAGCAGTTTACAAGTATGAAATGAACATAAATAAAACGAATGTTTGTTTATTATTAAAAATAACCGTGTACATTCTAATATTTATTTGATTATTAAGATGAAAGACAAAGTGACAAAAACACAATATGGGATTAACGCTGCCTCAGAACGCTGCACCTTTTTGATTATAACCGATTGCCAATCCACATCATTTTTTGGACTTGATACGGTTCATTGTCAAAATACGAAATTGGAACCGCTTAGTGTTTTTAAAAGATAAAAGGCAACATAGATTTTGCCAACTGCAAACTTGTTCAAATCAAATTGCGGGTTAAATTGATGTCCGCATTTTGACAGTAAACGGTTAGATATCTTCATTCAGCCTAGCCTCCCAGCAAAAACCATAGAGGTGATCAGGAGAAAGTGAGGCGTGACCTGTTTTCGTAAAATAGCTCGAAAATCTCACTGTTCGATGGCTATTAAGTACACGAACACATTCTGCTACAAAAATAGAATATAAGTATGTCAGTCAAAATTAAGAAGACAATCAATCAAACTAAAATCTTGGCCGCCAAGTATTGCTTTATAGAGAAAACATAGAGACACAAAAAAAAATATAAAAAAATTAACAATCGTGTCCGAAGTCAGGAGCATGTAGTCCAGTGGTTGTCGTTGGTTCATGTCTGTCACATTTGTTTTTCGTAAATTGTTAGTTTTCTCGTTTAAATTGTTTCAAATTTTTCATGTCGAGGCCTTGTATAGCCGTCTATATACGGAATGGGGTTTCTCATTGTCGCCGAAGGCTATACGGTTGCCTATAATTGCTTACATCCACTTTATATGAACGTTAATGGATAGTTGTTTATAACAATTGACAATCATACCATATCTCGATCATGGCCTTATTTTTATGTTTGAATGCGCAAGGAGCTTTAGTTGAATAATAAATTTGTGATCACTTTAAGAATTAAAGCTGGTGGCCCACCTCCTTCCAGCATGGCCTCTTGGTTGCTACTAAAAATAAATCAATACAAAATTATGAAAAATCGCATGAAGGACTTATTTCTATGTATGTACTCTGTATGTTACGTGGTACATTTATTAATTGATATTCCAGCCGATCTACCAACGTGACTAATATAGACAATTTTACAAAAAGTCAATAAAAATTTTAATTTTTAGAACAAATAGACTACTTGACTATTTGTTACCAAACTATATATGTCCTAATGGTATATCTATGACCATCTTTAAGAAGTTTGGTTGGAGTAATATGGCGGGTGTCACTAGTGGATTAAAATCTACTGACCCTTCCGGAGCACCTGAATTCACCCCCGTTTTTTTGTGTGGAGTGTGTCTTACTCGAGCATCAGTTTTCTGTGTTGTGTTTTCTGGACCGTTGTTTGTCTTCGTTTTTCTTTTTGGTCATGATGAAAGTTCATATAATATATTTGATGTTCTTGAAGTATAGATTCTAGGTACTGACGTTGTTTATATACATGTATCATCTTAATTACGTGTTATAGTGTTCTTTTATTTGTTTTTGTAAATTATTAACCTTTACTTTTTAGTCCATTTTTCGTAAAATCCTTACTGGCTCGGTACTTATGCATCCCGCCATTGTGTTGTTGTACTGTGCTGTGGTAATTTTTTGTACTCTTGTCTTTCATTTTTGCTTATGTGCTTTGTCTATATGCCATTTTGTTTTTCTTTGTAGACATATTTGTTTGCTTTTATAGTAATAAAGATTATGACACAATGTTGACTGCTGTACCCCTATTTTTGACATTTTTACCTATTATGTCTGTTTGTTTTGTTCACACATTGTTGTCAATATAATGGAATTTTATGCGACTGTCATACAAGTGAGAGGTTTAGCTAGCTATAAAACCAGGTTTAATCCATCATTTTCTACATAAGGAAATGCCTGTGCCAATTCAGGAATATGACAGTTGTTTTCCATTCGTTTGATGTGTTTGAGCTTTTGATTGTGCCATTTGATAATTTGATAAGGGACTTTCCGATTTAAATTTTACTTGGAGTTCGGTATTTTTGTTATATTATTTTTCATTACTACATAGACATTGACAAAAAAAAATCAATACAAATTTATGAAAAATCTGAAGGTCCAATTGCTACCAAACATTGGTTAAATGATACATTTATCATAAAAAAAAATGATTGATTGGTTCCATCAGTTTTTATACGACCGCAAAAAATTTATTGTGGTCGTATATTGGTATGACGTTGGCGTCGTCGTCGTCGTCGTCGTCGTCCGGCGTCGTCGTCCGAAGACACATTGGTTTTCGCACTCTAACTTTAGTTTAAGTGAATGGATCTCTTTGAAATTTTACCATAAGGTTCAATACCACAAAAGGAAGGTGGGGATTGATTTTGGGGGATTTTGGTACCAACAGTAAAGGAATTAGGGGCCAAAAATAAGCATTTTCTAGTTTCCAGACAATAACTGTGGAACGGTGTATGGATCTCTCTGAAATTATACTACAAGTTTCCATACCACAAAGGGATGGTTAGGATTTGCTTTGGGGGGTTATGGCTCAAACCGTTTAGGAATTAGGGGCAAAAAAGGGAGAAAAACAAGGTTGTCCTGGTTAATGGACAAATACTTTAGTACAAAACATAATTTAAAGCAGTGTAAGGGAGATAAATCAAATACATCATTGAAATTATCTCCCTTACACTGCTTTTAAATTATGTATAAAGTAATGGTTAATGAACAATTAAGATAATTTAAAACAGTGTAAGGGAGGTAATCCAAATACAACGTTTTGGTTACTTCCCTTACACTGCTTTTAAAATGATGTTTAAAGAAATGCATATTTATAAAGGAAGACCAGTAAAAATATCTGCAAATGTTGCATCTTTTTTTTTACAAAAAAATCCATATGAAAGATTTGACACTATATTTTAAATTCTATTATAAAATAGGATAAGTTAGCACTATGGTAAATTTAAATGGATAATTATGGTTGCAAACTCCATTTCGAAATTTGAATTGAGATTATGACCATATCTTGAGGGAAAGAATTTTTTGTGGGAAAAAAAGGGGGGGGGGGTAAAAAGAAATTGTGGGGGTTCAATTTTTTCTCATTTCAGATTTCAGAAATTAAAAAGAATTATTCTTCAAATATTGTTTTTTTTTTTCAAATTTCAAATATTGAAAAATTTCAAAAAAGTAATCTTTAATTGCACAGTATGGCGCATTAGATTTGTAGAATCTTTTACCACATTTATTTATTTGTTATGCCGAATCTAACCGTGTATTTAGATTTTTAATTTTGGGTCCAGTTTTCAAATTGGTCTACATTAAGGTCCAAAGGGTCCAAAATTAAACTTTGTTTGATTTTAACAAAAATTGAATATATGGGGTTCTTTGATATGCTGAATCTAAACATGTATTTAGATTTTTGATTTTGGGCCCAGTTTTCAAGTTGGTCCAAATTGGGGTCCAACATTAAACTTTGTTTGATTTCAACAAAAAATGAATATATGGGGTTCTTTGATATGCTGAATCTAACCATGTATTTAGATTTTTTATTTGTGGACCCCGCTATCAAATTGGTTCATATTGATGTCAAAAGGGTCCAAAATTAAACTTTGTTTGATTTCATCAAAAATTGAATTATTGGGGTTCTTTGATATGCCAAATCTAACCGTGTATTTAGATTTTTAATTTTGGGTCCTGTTTTTTTAATTGGTCTACATTAAGGTCCAAAGGGTCCAAAATTAAACTTAGTTTGATTTTAACAAAAATTGAATTCTTGGGGTTCTTTGATATGCTGAATCTAAACATGTGTTTAGATTTTTTATTATGGGCCCAGTTTTCAAGTTTGTCCAAGTTGGGGTCCAAAATTAAACTTTGTTTGATTTCAACAAAAATTGAATATATGGGATTCTTTGATATGCTGAATCTAAACATGTATTTAGATTTTAGATTTTTGGCCCAGTTTTCAAGTTGGTCCAAATTGGGGTCCAAAATTAAATTTTGTTTGATTTCAACAAAAATTGAATATATGAGGTTCTTTGATATGCTGAATCTAACCATGTATTTAGATTTTTTATTTGTGGGCCTGCTATCAAATTGGTTGATATTGAGGTCAAAAGGGTCCAAAATTAAACTTTGTTTGATTTCATCAAAAATTGAATTATTGGGGTTCTTTGATATGCCAAATCTAACCGTGTTTTTAGATTTTTAATTTTGGGTCCCGTTTTTTAAATTGGTCTACGTTAAGGTCCAAAGGGTCCAAAATTAAACTTAGTTTGATTTTAACAAACATTAAATTCTTGGGGTTCTTTGATATGCTGAATCTAAACATGTGTTTAGATTTTTGATTATGGGCCCAGTTTTCAAGTTTTTGTCCAAGTTGGGGTCCAAAATTAAACTTTGTTTGATTTCAACAAAAATTGAATATATATCTTTGATATGCTGAATCTAACCATGTAGTTTGATTTTGGACATTGGACCATAATAGGTAAATTAAAAAAAATCAAGTTCTTAGACCACATTCTTTCTGTGTCAGAAACCTATGCTGTGTCAAATATTTAATCACAATCCAAATTCAGAGCTGTATCAAGCTTGAATGTTGTGTCCATACTTTCCCCAACTGTTCAGTGTTCGACCTCTGCGGTCGTATCCAACTGCGCCCAGCGGATCATTTTATTATGTCCTACATTCGGTATATTCTCTACATTGTGTCAAAGAATTCCTTAAGATATTTTAAAAAGTTTAGCTTATTTGTGAGCAGAGATTCTAAATCCGATCAGCTCGCACAATGTTTAATATATATATTTTATTTGCTTAACTACTTGCCAAAAATCAGACCAGAATTTGAAGTAATTAGAAAACAGTCATTTACCAAACATAACATAGTATTGATGTTCAGAGATTATGGCCTAGACAAGTTATAGCGGTCGTATCAAGCTGCGCCCAGCGAAGCATTTTATTAAGTTCTGCTACCTTACTTTTGTTAAATCTTGTAATTACGGTAAATGACAGAAACAATCTTCCAAAACTGCCCCCACTATTACTGTGATGGATAATTCGACAGGAAAATTTCAATAAAAAATTATGGAAAATTATACGAGGAGCTAATCGCATACAAACCTCCTTTGTAATCCTCATTTTATTTCAATCGCCTGGAAAACAAGGCACTCCTACATTAACTAGCAGTAATTGTTAATTCTGATCAATTTTGAAATGCCAGAACATATCTGAAAACTCAGTATATGCATGCATATGACTAGTTTCTCATGAAGTTAAAAAAAAATGGATACGTAAAATAAGGTTGCAGAGTTGTGGACAATGCCCAAAATACAGGCCCGCGAGATCCTCTAGTTCAAATAAATCAATTATTGTATGTTCGTTGACGTGTGATGCCTTGTTGTTGCATCGTTGACTATTACAAAAAATAAAGCATGTATGTGTCTCATGTTTGCATTGTTTCAGTTTTGTTAGTGTGAAACCTTTGTATTAGGTTCGCTTAAAACAGAAATGTCGGAAAATAAAAAATAGAATAGGTTTGGGATATGTAAATACAAAGTCGCATCTGATTAAACAAATTTAAAGTTTCCACATTTTCTGCGCATATACCAATGACTCTTTAGACGTTCATAGGCCATCTGTTTCTCACCCAAGTCGAAACAAACTGATTTATTTTTCACTATCATCTCCAACCTGTATACCAAATACCTTTTTTGAGGGTTTTTCGAGTGTCATTCAAAATTAACTGTTCTTTCTCTTGATTCTCAAACTTGCCAAACTTCACTAATAGCAGAGCTGTCACTACTAAATAAAAAAAGTTGTTCGGGATATACAAATACAAAGTTGTATCCGATTAACAAATTCAAACTGCACGTATACCAATGATTCGTTCTAGACGTTCACAGGCAATCTGTTTCACACCCAAGTCGAAACGCACTGATTTGTATTCTATTATCTTCTCAAACATATACCAAATACGTTTTAGTTTTCTAGTACCATTCAAATTTTACTGTTCATTTCTGATTCTCCAACTTGCCAAACTTAACTAATAGCAGAGATGTCACTACATATACAGTCGCCATTAACAAGGATCCAAAGGTGTGTAACTGGAAAATCTTTAAAAAAAACTTCTCCAAAGACACCTGGCTTATAGTTTTGTACGCCATAAGCGCATTTCTGTATTAACCTTAATCAGGAACACACAAAACTAAACAATTGAAAGCCAAAGATGTATAGGACGTAAACAAGTAAACACGTGAAACACGTAAACACGTAAACACGTAAACACGTAAACACGTGAAACACGTGAAACACGTAAACACGTAAACACGTGAAACACGTAAACACGTGAAACAGAAGAGACGAAGTCGATTGAAATGTAATACTATTGAGAAATCTGCAATGAGAACTGTTAAAAATGTCCACTATACATGTGGTTTGTTATGCTTGATAATGCTAGTAATATGAAGATATGTATATAATTTGGATATCAACGATATTTTGCAGACTTTAGTAGTATCAGTGTGAATACATGATTGTTTGATTGTTGCTTGCTTAACGTCCATCGGATATATTTCCAGGAAATTCAGGAATATGGATACAAATGACCGTCACAGTAGTTAAGTATTCGTTGGCTTGTAAAGGTTTACTTATGATTTCAACTACTATATTTATATTAGTTGTTCAGTTTATTGGGTAGTAACTATAATGTGTTTTACATGCAAAATTATATTTTTTGGAACTCAAAATTATGGTATATTTTGGCATTGCTCAAGGTCATGTTTTTCTCAGACTGTTTATGACGTCTTTATAATAAACCCATTGGATGTGTACTGATTGATACACATACTGAATCTGTACAAATACGTTGTATAGAGACTGATAATGACTTCAATGCAAGTTTATTTTTTTTTAACATTTGCAAATGATTATGAACATAGTAGAGCCTATGGATAAAGTTTACAGAACAGAGAATAATGAGCAAAAATACAGTATAAAGGGCAAAATAAACAAAAGTATAGAAAATAAGGCGAAAAAAATGTAAAGAATAAAGAACAAGAGAGTGCTACAATATAAAGAATATAGAGAATAATAGGCAAACAAATGTAAAGAATACAGGAATGAAGGACCCACATCTACACCCCAATAGTAACAGTTGAGGTCTCATCAATTTCTATTTTACATCTGGTAAAAGACGTTTTAGAGTTCTGCTTTTCACCGTACGTTTAACCACATCCTTTGAACTAGTTCCAAGAAAAAATACCTGAAAATACACTATATATGATGTAATTTAGGTATCCAGTTTTCATAGTTCTCATTATATAGTGATGTCAGATGGGACCAAGAACGATGAATGTCTGAAATCAACTTAAACTGAAAATTCAAAATAAAATGATTTTGTTTAGTTCTCGGTCTATGTACATTTATATCGTTTTCAATTTAAGAGGTGGCACTGGTCTAAACGAAATAACTTTGAACCGTGTTAGACGCCCTCAGCTTACAACGGAACAAAAATAATTTAGACAGAACCTTGACAAATTATCATACCTAAATTTGTAATCTAATTCTGTATTTAAATATATATAAATAGAAATATGTAAAATCTAAAAATTTAAATAACACATGAGAGGTTCTCCAACCTTGGTGAATCATAATACAATACAACAGGTAGCAAAATCATACACAGGTAAGTATATCCGGTGATTTTAATCCGAAATCATCAGCATTGAAAACTTCCTGGTTAGCACAAAAGCTTCCTTGAAAAATGGAGACAAACGAGAATCTGGATTGCACGAACTGTTCTCAGTTGAAGCAAATAAAGGCTTTATCCAGGCAAGTTCTGAAGAAGTATGATGAGCTGTTGCAAAAGTATAAAGAAAATGAGGATCAATATAATGAGGTAGTCCAACGACTCAAGGAACGAGAAGGTATGTTAGAAGACATGAAGAAATTAATTGAACCGGCGATGTCAGAGCACGAAAGACTTATGGTAAAGTATGATATTGAAATTGGCTGTAGAAACGAGGCTGAAAATGTTGCTCGAAAAATGACATTTCAAAACAAGGCATTGAAACGTCAGTCACAGGCCCTACTTGATCATATAGGGAAAATTGACATCACTCAGATCCCCGCTGAAATCTTAGAGGAACCAACAGAGGTAGACAATGATTCTTACAAGGAGTATACTGACAAGCTTAACACTACAATACAAGATCTAGAGGAAAAGGTATCGTACTATGCCACAGCTCTTGCCGGAAGCAGAGAAGAATTGAGTACAGAACGTGAGGATAACATCAGGTTGAAAAAGAAGAACGATAACTTGAAACAAAGTCTTCGCCAGACTGAAAATACATTGCTTCAATATCAAAATGCAATGGTAGAATTGACATCTATGTCCGAATCTGCATATGAGGAGTATGAAGACTTAAAGAACAAATGTGAAATCGAAGCGAATAAGAGGAGTGAAACCGAGAAGGTCATGCTTAAAATCAAAGCTCAGAATGAAGCAATGAAAACCCAAAGTACCATCTTGTTGTCCAATGTAGCTAATGATCAACAATTGACCAACGCTTTGTGTGAAGTAGAAGAACTCAAGACGGACAAAACAAATTTGGAACAACAAGTGGATGACCTCCAGAAAGAATTGGAGAGTTTATCTGATGCAAAAACGATAGAAGAACTGGAAACCGAGAAATCTAATCTTTCAAGTCAAGTTGATGATTTGACTAAAAAGGTAACAAATTATGAAAACATATATGCAAAACTTGAAACACAATATAAAGAACTTGAAGGGAAACTAGAACTTGCTCTGAGACCTCCTCCACCGCCACCTCCTCCTCTTCCCCCTCCTCCACCGACTGCGCAATCAAAAGGATTTTTGTCGAAAATAGGAAGTAAAAAGAAGAGGGCAAACATGCCCAACCAAGCCAATGCAGCAGATTTTGATCAACAAAGCTATGGACAAGCCCTGGATGAAATGATGAAAAGAATCAATTCAGGGAATGCCCTGTCAAAAACATTGCGATCTACGAAACCAAGGCCGTCAGCCTCTAAAACAGAACAGTCTGGAGCTATGAAAGAATTACACAGTGTACTAAATCGCTATAAGAAATCTCATGATGAAAGTGATGGGGCTCCCAAAGATTCGGTTAGCTCAATAGATCCAAATTCAGAACTATCTAAAGTCTTTAACAGAGTGAAGAAAGCAAGTAAAGACGACACAAATGATGTGTTTACTAAATAACAGTTTAAATTATGACACATTATCAAAGCCAATTTTACCATGTATCAAGCTTTAACACGCTTCTATGTCAGATTATATACTTTTATTGAAATACCAACCTCTAACTCATTGCATTTATTTGGTATTAAAAACTCTTCAAATTTAAATTTCAATGGTTTTGTTTTTAGTTCTTTTTGCCAAATAATACAATTAATCTTTTGTAGCTTTTTTACTCCACACGTCCACATTATAAGTTAAACAACGAAATAACGGCAAGTGAAGAAAGCATTTGCTTTAATACTGATACAGATGAATACATATATATAGTTCATCGACCACATCAAAACTATCGTACTATTCACTTCTTTTGAATATGTTGCATAACTACTCGTAATGAAATCGATGTTGTATTTAAATGTGAAATCCGTTAAAACAACAACTTTACACGATATCAATTGGGTCATGTGAAACTCATTGTCATCTCTTCAAAGTTTGCATTTGGTTTTTGACTGTCAAATATGTTGGCTTCCAGCATCACTGAAGAGACATTGTCGAAAGGCGCATTCGGTGCAATTAAACTTGCATAGATAATGTTATTATATCACGGGTGTCATTCGGTTTATCGAGAGAAATGATCGTGAAAGAATACCTAACGGTGGTCAAGCATTGCGATTGGATCGTGAAAGATCTGACATCGGATCGTGAATGTAATTAAATGTAAATTCTACTTGAAAATCGGTGAAAAAATTGCTGAATTTTCAAAACGCGGAACAAATCCGAACAAACAAATATGTCTGTCAAAATGATTCAACTTTCTCAACAATACAGTGTAATAAGGTAAAGAAAATATGCAGTACTTTATGAGAAAACACAAAAGCCGCAATACATGTCTATGGGATTCATTACAAAAAAACACGCTATTTGTACCTATAATGGTCACATTCCAATATACCATGATATATTTGAAACTTAATCTTTGGTTTGTTCGATAGAACAGTAAAATAAAAGTATGCTCTTCCCTTGAAACCGTTCACTTTTTTATGAAAACCTTGAATTTTGTTGATTTTTCATCAAACTTGATCGTGAAAGATTAGGCAACGCATTATTTTGATCGTGAAAGATAAGGCGTGACCAGACTTAATAATCAGAAAACAATATTTCTTTTACCAATCGATACACTTGCAGCTGATGGAAGCGTGTATTTTTTTTATAAGAACCAACATAAAATCTTTCATATTTTTATTTTTTTAAATTCAATACTTTACCTCGATGGAAGCGTGTATTTTTTTTATAAGAACCAACATAAAAGCTTTCATATTTTTATTTTTTTAAATTCAATACTTTACCTCAAAAGTTAAAAAAATAATTAAAAACGTGTCTAGATAAGTTGATTTCCAAAATAGAAGGACCTCAACGAGCGTAAATTGTCGAAAAGTAAAGGCATATATGTATCTTTGAATACATCCGCCTTGGAAATATATGCATGTGTACGCAATATTTTTCAAGGGTTGTTAATTTCAGTTATGTGGAGTGTCGTTCGTGCATACATAGTATGACAATATTGTTATTTCGTGGATGCGCCGACACAAACTAAAAAGGTACAAAGTTAACGTTATTTCTAATTAATTGTTTGTTAAGTCATTTCACAATAGCCATACGTCATTGTACCCAACTTAGTGGGTAAATTTTCATTCAACGTACTCCGACTGGGATGCCCAGCTTGAACTGTAGTTTAACCTACTTAGCTCTATTCTCAATCGTGAGAAAACTTTTACTGAATCTGCACTGGCATGTCTAGCGATATCATACCTTTGTCAGTTCGCGTGTAATAATTTCAGCTCTGAGAATCGGTCTAGTACAATTCAGGCAGACCTGTCTACTTACCACCACTTTTTAGACAATAATATAGGTATGCAACGTTTAAACACAAAAAGTTAACCATCTTCCATATCTAATAGCGAAAACAGCATCTTTCACTAACAATATGAGATTGAACGATAACCATACAACCTTTTGTGTTACAGTTTCTTAAGTTCTATATATGTCTCTTTATATACAACGTAGCGGATGTGAAATGATTAACAATATATTACAGAGTAAAGAATACCAGAACGCAAATGCTGAAATGTCTCGTCTGCTTTACTTATGATAGTATATATGTTGAACGTCTGTAATAGTAAGGGTTTTACTAGAATTGTCACATATGCTTAAGATTATCAATGATCCATAAAAAAGAGGCCAAGGTAAGATGAATCATGCCATACAGACCGGTACAAACATCCCGTACACCAAATATGGTGGTTCTGATGCTTACAATACCTTAAAACTGACCAAAGCCCACAAAATAAACATTGCCCAGTGATACATGATAATGAGGTCAAGGTTAGTTGAAACCTTTCTAGTCGAAAATGTACACCTTACAATCATAACTTACATCAAATACAGTTACCCTATAGATAAACGAATCCGCGATACAGACTTGACCACAAAACTAAACCTTGATCTATGAAATAAGGCACAGTCGAGGTCTGAATATATTAATACTTTGAAATGCTTACATTTATTGAGGATCTTCGCTTTATAAATATAATGGGCATATAAATGAGAAATGAAAATTATTAAATTTGTATAAGAAAATAAAACTTATGAAGGTCGGACAAATAGACTGATATTGCTATAATTCACCTAGTCTGTGTGGTATTATAAGATAATTGGATCAAATGGCATTGCACGATTATAGCCCTATTCACCAACAAAAGAGACCCGGGTTAGTCATGCAAATCTAGTTTTTTCTATACCAATAACAAATATAAATTATCATATAATTGAAGAATGATTTGAACGTCTTCGTACTAGTTCGTAGCATCAGATCTTTCACGATCCTTTTCACGATCTTCAAAAAGCGGTACGTGATCTTTCACGATCCGAAATATCAAATTTGTGTAAATATTTATTTTTTTACAAATTTTCTGATTATGCTTTCACAAACTAACTTTGAGAACCATTTGATTCATTCAAATGAAATGACCTTTTTTGTAGAAAAGTAGTTTAGTCATTCGAATTATGAAAAAATCATGTTTGTTTACATTTTTAAACTCATTGAAATGTCGAGGAGTAATCTGCCTTTTGTAGTTTTGTAAACACGATGTACTTTTAAACCTGGATTTTCTCACATACTGATCATAATGTTGAACCATTTTGACAGACAGTTTTATTTTGTTGTAAATTTGTCCGTGTAATTACTTAAATTAGATTAATAAATGACCTTGTATATGTCTTCTCGATAAGATTGAGTTCACGATCCTATACAAGAGCTTTCACGATCCAATCGCAATACTCAGTGACCACCGTTAGGTATTCTTTCACGATCATTTCTCTCGATAAACCGAATGATACCCGTGTATATGACTTATGTGAATAAGTTAATATTCTTGCATAGCCTTATGCCGATACTTGAAATGTGTAATGCACAGAAATCTTCTGCATTGGAAAACGTCCAAAAAGCAATTTTGATTGATCAGTTTGTTAGATTATTATAAAAATAAGGAGATGTGGTATGATTGCCAATGAGACAACTATCCACCCAAGTTTATTTTATTGTTTGCTAAACGTCGAAAGGCCAATAGTTCATACATATACGGAACGATGGGTGAGGGTTAATTTGAACTGCAACATGAAAAAGGAGAGTGTTGAACCAGAAAAGAAATTTGTATATCTACAGGGGAATGATTATCTTCATCTGGTTGTGTGATGGGTGCAATCATGGTCTATAACATCAGTGTCACATATGACCACGAATCTTTCCAATTTGTCATAATCACAATCCAGTCATCCGTTCCTCGTATATGGCATTATAGAAGCATTTTTTTTTTGCATAGACAATAGAAGGTCGCCCCTAGAGGAGTGGGAACTGTTAAAACGTCTTGAGTACATAAGTTTATATTCCCATTATTGGTTAGGTTCGTCATGCCTACTGTTAAGTATTTTGTAGAGTGTTTTTTTAAGTATTGTTTGTCTTTTCGTTCATTTTCTTTTGGTTATGGTGGTGCTTGTCTTCTTTGAGAGAGACCCAAAACCAAATTTCTAGTCCAAGAGGCTCAAAACATTGCTGTTACTATTCAAATTCTGCTAAGAACAGACTGATTGCAATATTTATGGACATTGCGAAACAAAGGCCATTCAAACCGGTGACAAATACTTCCAAAGTTAGGAGAAAATGTTTCTTCATGTAGAATTCTCCAGTAAGGGCTTGGATGCTATCAGCATTAGCAATCATTTTATCCTTTAATATTAGCATTCAAAAAAGGGACAACGAAAATCTCCCGTCTTTTTACAGGATACCTCGACCTCATTATCATTATAAAGAACGATATATAGCCGAGTCGTCAAAATATTCGACTAAACATCTTTTTTAAATGCGACGAGGTGTCATCCACCGGTGTCAGTCAGATGTGGCTTTATACACAGTAAAGGTCATTAAATACATCCATCATCAGCAGCTGTGTATTTCTTTAGATTCTAAAAATCTACTGCAAAATCTTCAATCGCATTATTTACAATTTTGCAGTAGTATCAAAACTTTTATTTAACACTTTTATCTCCATACTCAATTGAAAGAATGAAAACATCATTAAACAATATAAACAAATGAAGATGTGGCTAATTGCCTAGGAGACATACTTCCATCAGAGATCAAATGACGTAGAAGTTAGCAACTCTAATGACGTAGAAGTTAGCAACTCTAATGACGTAGAAGTTAGCAACTCTAATGACGTAGAAGTTAGCAACTCTATGTCACCGTACAACCTTTCAACAATGAGGAGCCCATGTCACATAACAAACTTTAAAAGGCACCGACATGACATATGTAAAACAATTCAAACGAGAAAACTAACGGCTTGATTTATGTACAACACAATAAACGAAAAAGAGGGCCTTTTCTATAAAAATAGGAATCGTAAATACAGATTTCTTTAGGTATATATCTTTATAGGTCATGAAAAATCTTATCTTGTGAAGAACAGCGATCTGATTAGAAAAAGAAATACACAGCAGATGATTTCAGAATACTGGACTTTTTGATCAACAACATATTTGTTACGTTTGGTGGATTGATATTTCAGCCAACAGTCGGTATTCCAGTGGGTAGTAATTGTGCATCCCGACT